TCTTGCTGACTGTGTCCTTTGCCTTATAGAAGCTTCTCAGTTTCAGGAGGTCCCATTTATTAATTGTTGATTTCAGTGTCTGTGCTACTGGTGTAATGTTCAGGAAGTGGTCTCCTGTACCAGTTTGTTCAAGGGCATTTCCTACTTTCTCTTCTAATAAGTTCAGTGTGGCTGGATTTATGTTGAGGTCTTTGATCCACTTGGACTTAAGTTTTGTGCATGGAGATAGATAGTCTTCTACATGCCAGCATCCAGTTATGCCAGCACCATTTTTGTTGAAGATACTTTCTTTATTCCATTGTATAGCTTTAGCTTCTTTGTCAAAAATCAGGTGTTTGTAGATGTTTGAGTTAATTTCAGGGTTTTCAACTTGATTCCATTGGGCTACCTGTCTATTTTTGTGCCAATACCAAGCTGTTTTCAGGGCTATAGCTCTATAATAGAGCTTGAAATCAGGGATGGTGATGCCTCCTGAAGTTCCTTTATTGTACAATGTTGTTTTGGCTATCCTGGGTCTTTTGTTTTTCCATATAAAATTGAGAATTGTTATTTCAAGGTCTGTGAAGAATTGTGCTGGGATTTTGATGGGGATTGCATTGAATCTGTAGATTGCTTTTGGCAAGATTGCCATTTTTACTATGTTGATCCTACCTATCCAAGTATCTTCTGGTATCTTCTTTAATTTCTTTCTTTGAAGATCAAAATTCTTATGATACAGGTCTTTCACTTTTTTAGTTAGCGTTACCACAAGGTATCTTATGTTATTTGTGGCTATTGTAAAGGGTGATGTTTCTCTGATTTTTTTCTCACACATTTATCATCCATATATAGTAGGGCTACTGACTTTTTTGAGTTAATCTTGTATCCTGCCACTTTGCTGAATGTGTTTATCAGCTGGTAGAGTTTTTTGGGTCACTTATGTAGACTATCATATTGTCTGCAAACAGTAAAAGCTTGACTTCTTCCTTTCCAATTTGTATCCCCTTGATCTCCTTTTGTTGTCTTATTGCTCTAGCTAGCACTTCAAATACAATATTGAAGAGATATGGAGAGAGTGGACAGACAGCCTTGTCTTGTTTCTGATTTTAGAGGAATAACTTTGAGTTTCTCTCCATTTAGTTTGATGTTGGCTGTTGGTTTACTGTATATTGTTTTTACTATGTTCAGGTATGTTCCTGTTATCCCTGATCTCTCCAGGACCTTTATCATGAAGGGGTGTTGGATTTTGTCAAAGGCTTTTTCAGCATCTAGTGAGATGATCATGTGGTTTTTGTTCTTCAGTTTGTTTATATGGTGGATTACATTGATAGATTTTCGAATGTTGAACCAACCCTACATCCTGGGGATGAAGCCTACTTGATCATGGTGGATGATTTTTCTGATGTGATCTTGGATTCGGTTTGCCAGTATTTTATTGAGTATTTTTGCATCAATGTTCATGAGGGATATTGGTCTGTAGTTCTCTTTCTTAGTTGTGTCTTTGTGTGGTCTAGGTACCACACAAAGTAATTGTAGGCTACAAGGTAATTGCAGCCTCATAAAGAGAGTTTGGCAATGAACCTTCTGCTTCTATTGTGTGGAACAATTTGAGGAGTATTGGTATTAGCTCTTCTTTGAATTTCTGGTAGAATTCTGCACTGGCTCTGGGCTTTTTTTTTTGGTTGGGAGACATTTGATGACTGCTTCTATTTCCTTAGGGGTTATAGGTCTGTTTAAGTTGCATATCTGTTCTTGATTCATTTTTGATAAGTGATATCTGTCCAGAAAATTGTCCATTTCCTTTAAATTTTCGAATTTTGTGGAGTACAGGTTTTCAAAGTATGACCTGAAGATTCTCTGGGTTTCTTGAGTGTCCATTGTTATGTCCCCCTTTTCATTTCTGATTTTGTTAATTTGCATGTTCTCTCTCTGCCTTTTGGTTAGTTTGGATAAAGGTTTGTCTATCTTGTTGATTTTCTCGAAGAACCAACTCTTCCTTACATTGATTCTTTGTATGGTTTTCCTGGTTTCTACTTTATTGATTTCTGTCCTCAGTTTGGTTATTTCCTGGCTTCTCCTCCTCCGGGGTGAATTTATTTCCATTTGTTCTAGAGCTTTCAGTTGTGATGTCAACTCTCTGGTATGAATATTCTCTAGTTTCTTCATGTGAGCACTTAGAGCTATGAACTTTCCTCTTTGTACTGCTTTCAAAGTGTCCCATAAGTTTCAGTATGTTGTGTCTTCATTTTCATTGAATTCTAAGAAGTCTTTAATTTCTTTCTTTATTTCTTCTTTGACCCAGGAATGCTGCAATTATGTGTTGTTCAATTTCCATGAGTTGGTAGGTTTTCTGCAATTTGTGTTGGTTTTGAATTCTAACTTTAAAGCATAGTGGTCTGATAAG